TGAGACGTGCTATTGAGACAAGAGTAAATGGTTTATCATCAGCATAGGTACCAAGTTGAGAGCTGATACCAACGGGAAGGTTATTAATGGGGATCGAAAACAAATTAGCAGCAAGGATAGAATCCTGGGAGGGGGACAGCTGCATTAGTACGAAAGGAAATGGAAGAGTGACAGTTCAGGATCACCTTCATGTCACGATTCGATAGAAATGATTGAATCAGTTCAAAAAGATACCAAAGCGAAGTGTCTATCCGAACAGTTACCAAGAAAGTATTTATAGAAAAGACACAAGGAGGCAACTTTACGACGGTGGGAAATTGACTGAAGCCGAGATGCCAGATCAGGACTAATAATATTGCTGATTCTTCTTTGGATTTTATCGAGGTTCGCTAGATATATAGCAGAAGCACCGGATCATGTGTGGCAGCAATATTCTAAATATGGACGAATGGTAGAGTTATAGATAGATCCAGAAGAAAAAGATTCTCTAGCATAACACAGTGTACTAATTTTCTTATTAGCTGACCTAGTAATGGAGTCTTTCCACTTTACGTCAGCCTAGAACGTTATCCCGAGAAGGCGTAACACGTTATTCTCTTGGAGATCAGCATCAGCCATGCTGATGAAAGGTAGAAAGGGGTCTCTCGAGTAATAGAGAGCAGTTTAGTTCTGGAGGGGTTAAAATTAACAAGCCAGTCTTTGCCCCATTTAACAACAGACTGAAGGTCGTTTATGACTTCATCCGCCCATTTGACCTCATCGAACTGATGAGACGTGCTACTGAGACAAGAGTAAATGGTTTATCATCAGCATAGATACCAAGTTGAGATCTGATACCACCGGGAAGGTTATTAATGGAGATGGAAAACAAATTAGCAGCAAGGATAGAATCCTGGGAGGGGGGAAGCTGTATTAGTACGAAAGGAAATGGAAGAGTGACAGTTCAGGATCACCTTCATGTCACGATTCGATAGAAATGACTGAATCAGTTCAAAAAGTTGTCCGGAGAAACTTTAACTTTTTCTGCGACAAATGTTCAGATGAGCTCCATGGGATTTTTCGCACATAGATATTTTAACAAGAAAGAAGATTAAGTCTATAAGTTTATTTATGAACTTAAGGAGGGCCGAAGAACACATCGGCCGTAAAATAGTTATAAAAACAACAAAGATGAGAATATTCGTTTGAATAATGATAATCAAAACTCACAAATAATGAGTTTTAAACGTTACTCTACGAGTGACAACAGTTTGGATTAGAATACCTTTCAGATTTGTATGGTTAACATGTCAGAATTTTTTTTTCTGGTGACCTTAAGAATTTAGCTTTGCACATTTATTAAGCTTTTGGCGCAAAAAGTCTTCCTACCATCAATACGTTTATTGTACCCTGAATCAAATTAAGCAAACCTTATAAATATCAGCCCCTTCCCCAATCTAAAATAGATGTGTATTTTTCTGGCCTGACATCTCTTAGCAATACGGAAGTACTCAGTATGGGCTAAAATCAAATTTTGTTTCATAATGAACTAGCGGGGATACTCGGCGTTGCTCGGAAGATTTCTGAATAATAGTTTATTATCGACAATTTATTGATATTTTTCAGCCATCTTATGGAAAATAATTGTTTATTCAATCTTTAAAAAATAAACTTCATTTCTTATTTTTTTGGTTTGTTGCAAAATAGCTAAATTTATGAAAATACTACACTTCCAATATCACGCTGGGGAGGGGGGTTCTTAGGGGGGTTGACTATTTCCATATTTTTATTCAAAAATACTTTTTATTTTTCGATTTAAATACTAACATAAATACTCTGTTAATGTTGTTTTTAAACAAATCAAACTTAGATAAAAGTTCATTAACCTTCTTTCAAATTATTATTAATAAAAGAATTAAATAAACTTAAATTAAGATATATTTAAACATATTTAATTTAATCATTTTTTTCAAGCAAAACTATAGTGAGCCTTCTTCGAAAAATAATTATTTACTATTTATTTTGGAGGAGAATTTAGATTTTTTAAGTAAATAATGTTTTACTTTTAAACATTACATTAGCAGTTATTTTTCTGTAAATGAATTTAAGTATTAAGTATTTTGAAAGAGAATAGAAGCAAACAAGATACATTGAGAATTTAGTTTTGAAAAGCGATTGTTTAAATTTCAATTTATGTTTGTATTTGAAAATAAAATAAAAACTTTAGTTAAATAAAAATTAAGAGAAACAGACATGACTTATGGCTAACACTAGTTGTGTTGAATATTTGTTTTAGGAATTTAATTATATTTTATTTAAATTAATTTTCGAAAAATAAGACTCGCTATAGTTTTTTTTGCTTTAATAAGACTTAATTGAAAATTATTTGCTTTTTATGTTAGTTACAAACCCCCCAAAAGAATTTTTTTTTAAAGATGGAATTAAAAATTATTTTCTATAAGATGTCCAGAAAATATTAATAAATGAATAATACACACACAGGCGCATACAAACAACTGCCCTTTGAGTGATACTGAATTTCTATATACGGACAAACCTCTCATCAACAGACTAATAGTGTTCGCTAAAGTCGATCGTCTGTAGATGAGAAGGGATTATTTTTTAGTTATAAGGCCACTATAATAGCTATCAGTAGTTATGATCGTAATGTAAATATTATAAACATGTATATATGTCATAAATAAATATATAATTAATATAGATATATTAACCAAAATAACTTATTTCTCACAGGTACTTTCTCACGCACGCACTAATGTATCGTACTTTCCGTCTTTGTTTACAATTGAAAGGCCCGCCGCCGCCACCAAGCGGTCATTTTGAGAACTAATACGACTCGTTCCGCTAAGCCCGCTTTTTAAAAAATACATCGCCGAAGATTTGGAAGTTTTTGCCTGCATATTATTTTTTATTTTGCTTGCAGATTTTGTCTGTTGCATCCGAAGTCCGTTGATAGGTGGTTTTTCTGTATATTTGTTTTCTAGCCACACACACACACACACACACACACACACACACACACACACACACACACACACACACACACACACACACACGTATGTTAGAATAAGTAAATAATAAACTTTTTGTCAAATAATTGTATTTAATATTTTTTAATTTACTTTGTTGTTTTAATATTCATTTTTTAAAGTTAAACTTTTATTTACTAAAGATGTGAAAATAAATTTAAGTTTAAATATATCTTAAGTTCTTAATTTATGTTTATTTACATTTTTATTAATAATAACCCCCTCCAAAATAAATAGTAAATTATTATTTTTCGAAGAAGTTAAGGCCCGCTATACCTTTTTCTTTAAAAAAATGATTAAATTAAATATGTTTAATTATATTTTAATTTAGTTTATTTAGATGTTTTAGCAGGGCACACACGCTCGAATATTTGAATAAATAAATATTAAACTTTTTTTCAAATAATTGTGTTTAATATTCTTCTTTTAAATTTACTTTATTGTTTTAATATATTTTTTTAAAGTTACGCTTTTATTTACTATAGATGCGAAAATAAATTGAAGAGAATAGAAATTTTAAAAATACATACTTGGATAGCGTTTAGCAGAATAAAAGAGTAAAAACTAACGGTAATCTAATTCGAGAATAAAAATTCTTACTGTTCTTTTTTACTTTTTAATTCTGAGAATTTCGAATGCATTCTAATGCATTTTAAATTTAGCATATCTTCGTAAATACAAATCATACGATGATAATTTTTATACAAAAAGTTGGCTTGGACGATAATGAGTCTGTATACATATTTACTTTGTCATAACTATTGTAGTTTTTTTTCAGTTTTAGACGGACACACACACACACACACACACACACACACACACACACACACACAAACAATTGCCCTTTATATATGTATAGCTTGCATATAATTCAAAAACGATTTTATTTTCATCATTTCATCCCAAGCAAGGCAAAAAAGCCACATAGTCGCAAGGGGTTACTGAGTGTGAAAGAATATGAGAAAAAGAAAATATTATTATGGAGCGAGAATAATAAGAGAACAAGAATTAAGAAGACAGAAAATAACGATTGACATTACATTTACATTTTTGAAGGTCAAAGTTGACAGGAAAGCAAGAAGTTGGAAGAGAATTTCATAAATGAGACGAAACTGATATAAACTTACGTTTACATCTAGCTATTTCACATTTAAAATGATGAGACCTAGCTGCCAATCTAGTACTGCACTTAAATTCTTAAAGTTGAGATACCAGAAAGGAAAGTTCATCAGAATAATTACTATGAGAATATTAACAGAAAAGGCAGAGGAAAGCTACGTTACGGGGTTGGGAAAGTGACTGAAGTCGAGAAAGCAACTTCCAGGGTAATATTCTTCCGTTGTTAAAAAAACAACAGTAGCTTTTTAATCATGGGAAAAGATGATAATATATCAAAATTCTAGATGTCTGACAATGTATTTAAATAGTTAACGATTTCCCTGAAAATTAACTGGTTTAAAAAGTAGCTTTCTTTTGGCTGACACCTGTGATGGGAATATCCAACTGCTGTTCTTGGGATTATTCAGACACCCTGCCACATTTACTTCCTGATAACGGAAAACTTCTCATTTCTCTATCACATTAAACAGTATGGCTGATGCTAACCTCCAGTGTAGTAACTCATTGCGCATTCTCAGTCTAACGCTTTCTCCTTGGAAATAATTGGAAAGATTATATTGAATCTTTGAACAGGAGTAGGAGTTTATCCCTTGTTTCCTGTTTAGGATTGGGTTTCCGGTTCATTTTAAAGTCTTTTTATTCTCTTTCGTTCCCAGTAGATCCTCTTGCGTCTTAATGGCGTTACTGCCTTGTTTGGGGTGAATTGATAAAAAAATTGCTAAGTCTGCAGCTAATATAGTTCATTCCCTGTGTTATGCTAGACATTTTTCTCCTTCAAACATGTCTTGCCTCTTAATAAGTTTATCATTCATCCGTGCATTAAGTATTGTTGCCATCTCTAGTATTGCGGGATTACGGCCATATCACGTCGAAACATTGGTTCCCGTACGATCACCGATGTTAAGCAACGTCCAGCTTCGTCAGTCTCTCGATGGGTGACCGCTTTGGAATACCAGCTGCTGTAAGCTTGGATGTTCGAGGGGTGTAATAGATAATGACTCGAAATTGTTAATCACAGAGTCCACTTCTTCTCCCCCAGCTATAGGTTAATTAGTAAGACTTGCATTATTAAATCATTATTATCTTTAAACAAGTAATGTTCTAATCTAAAAATATTTCAAATATTGGCTTTAAATGATTTACACTGGGTTGATAAACCGTAAAGAAAGAATCAATCAATCTAGTATTGCGTTTTAATTCGTGAAGTCGATGTACGAACGAGGGAAGATCATTAGAATAATTGTCATGAAAAGGTTTATAGATAAGGCAGAGGGAAGCTACGTTATGAGAGTGGGAAAGTGACTGAAGTCGAGATGCCAGTTCAGGACCAATAATATTGTAGATTCTTCTTCGTATTTTACCAAGAATCTCGAAATACAACAGTAAAATGATGATAACTTGGCGACAATCTAGTACTGCGGTTAAATTCACAAAATCGAGCTACCAAAGTGGAAAACTCATCGAAACAATTGCGAAATAGAAAAGGTAGAGGGAAGCTATGTTACGGAGGCGGGAAAGTGACTGAGATGGTCAGGACCGATGTCTCAAGATACATAGCAGAAACGGCAGACGAGATACAGCAGCAATATTCAATGCATTGATAAAAGGTAGACTTATAATGATTCAATATTCAAGATTCTGGTGAGAAAAATTGTCTAGAACGACAAAGTGAACCTACTTTTCTAGCAGTAAGTCTAGTAATTGATTCGATATACTCTCACTGATTCATTCCCCTGGAAAACGTCAGGCCGAAAAGGTGCAATCGTTTCAGATGTTTCTATTCTAAATATCCGGCCATGGTGCAAAATTAATTGGGGATACATTAATTACGATTTGGCTTTTTGAGTTCCAGATAAGAAAATAATATCAGTGATGAAATACCTTCCTTTAATTATTTTTTTTTTAAAATCTCAATTTATATTAAGATCTCTTAGATTTGATTTCTGAAGAAACCAAAAACTTCGCTTCTCAAAGGGATGTCACGAACTGGAGAGACGTACAAAATTACTTCCTTTTAAATAATTATTTTATTTTTGCATTGGACATTCATTAAGGGATCGTAGACAAAAGATTTCAATAATCTTCCGGCTGTTACATTCTTCATTTTTTCAACATTAAAATCCCGGAAAGACAAAAATATATTTTACGCGCGAGATTATTCCTTAATTAAAATAATAAAAATGATTCCAAACTGAAGCAGTTAAAAAAATCCTTTAAGGAATTGAAAAGTAAAAGAAAAAAACCCTAAACATTCGAATGGTGATTTCACACTCGTATGCGTCCAAGAAGAAAAAAAAAGAAGCTTTTTTTTATTTTAACTGATTCTAAAAATCTGTTTAGGGTAAATAAATAAATCTTTCCCGACATGACGCCAATTACAGTGAAGGTTTTACGTTCGTTGGGGCCATTTTTCATTTAGTGACAATCAAGTCTATTAAATAAACTACGAAGTGGATGCAAACAAAGGGAAATTGATAGGCCGCTCTCCTAATCTAATCTAACGGGCCCCCCCAGTGAATTAATATAATAGAATGTATTTCGCCAATAATTACTTAACTGATGTCGCTGATGTCTAGAATGGTTGCCTAGTAAGATCGTTCCCATTGTCTTGTGTCAGTTTGTGGGTTGACCTGCTTGTAGGGGAAGCGAAAGTGTCGGTGATAAAGATTCTATTTCTATTGTTACAAGGAAATTGCATGCGTCATCATTGCGAAGTCTCAAACACACGAACATGTATTAACATATACGGGTGTAACTTAATGGTTATCGCGTGATACAAGGTGTAAAGAGGTTTGAAAATTTTCCTGTTGCCGGTTTTATTAATGGAAACAATTATTGTATATATAGAAAAGGAGGGGGAGAAATTACAACAAGCATTTGTTACGATATGCATAGAAACATTTAATATACACGTCACTCAATTTTGACGTCAAATAGACACATGTTCAGACAAACCACCTACCCAGCATATATAGATAGTAATATAGTAAAGTAAATCAATATATATATATATATATATATATATATATAATTAACACACACACAAACATACACACACACACACACACACACATATATATATATCCAGGTAAGATGAAAACTAATAGAGCAGCACAATTCCAAGGTTCGTAACATTTAATTTAAAAGAGGACTCAATACAGAGTAGAGCGATATATTGAAAATATCGTCAGAATAATTTACAATCACCTGAGGAGATGCATTGATATGAGTCGAAACACGATCACAATTGTGTAGCGATTTTGACATGTATATATATATATATATATATATATATATATATATATATATATATGTGTGTGTGTGTGTGTATATATATATCTATGTGTGTATATATATATATATATATATATATATATATATATATATATATATATATATACACACACATAGATATATGTAATATTTTCAGATAGAGAGTATCTGTAAAGGAACAAAATAAATAAAAAGATAAGAGCCAAAACTATTCATATTCGACGCGTTTCGTCCTCTGAGGGACTTTATCAAGGCAAATTTATCGCCGAGTTCGAAACGCGTCGGCTAAGAATAGTTTTCCTCTTGTCTTTTTATTCAACTTCATATATATATCATACTACTACATCAACAATTTACTTTACACCCACTCGACTATAACACAACTAAGACTCAATTAAACACACACAAAACCAATCAAACTCTATCCGACACATACCAGTAGAAACTACAAGCATAATAGCCTCATCCACGTGTTAAAAAGGATTAAAAATAATGAAGCACTAATAATAAAAAAAAGAAAAGCTAACACTCAATAACATTAACTACGAACACGGCTACAGTGTGGTGACCGTGTTTGGAAAATAAAACAATCCTATAAATTCAGCAGCATATATAAAAAACACAAATTGAGTTAAAGCTAAAAACTAAAAATCGCCCTTGATAATGGCCAAAAGAATAGCCGAAAGCGTTCGGATATGAAGAACTTTTGCTCAGTATTTATACACTTTATATATATATATATATATATATATATATATATATATATATTAATGATTTACCATGTTTTGGGACGTTAACGCTTTTTTTTTCCGAGAAGTTTGCGGCATGGCATGAGACAAGACTAGTCCAGGTATTTTAACCTTCTAGCTGGAATCTTTTCCAGCTGTGCTGGTCAGACTCTCTGCCTAAGGGCAGAGAGGATCCCCAGACGAGGGTATGTCGAAGGGCAGAGTTTTGTCTCGGGAAACAGCTACTCAATCCCGTTTTATACGGGGTCTATGGAGAATTTTTGGCCGAGGCTACAAGCTCGGATTGCCCTACATTAAACTCGGCCTTGTGCCACATCCTACCTCGTGGGGAGGCTGGTAAATATTGACGCAATACAATCTTTTTACTCACCAAGCACTATATTAAAATGCAGCATCTATCTGCCCAGGATAAAAATATCTTTCTACTTAGGTCTGGAGTCCTTCAAAGTCTGTTTGTCTTTCCATCTTTCTTTCTCCTCCATCGATTTTTCTCTCTTTCTTTGTTTCAGTCATTTCATGTCTTTCTCTTTATCCATCTCAGTTGACCTTTCTCTCTCTCTCTCTCTCTCTCTCTCCATTAAATCCAGTTCATCTATCTATCTATCTATCTATCTATCTATCTATCTATCTATCTATCTATCTATCTATCTCAGCCTTTTCATATCTATCTATCTATCTATCTATCTATCTATCTATCTATCTATCTATCTATCTATCTATCTCAGCCTTTTCATATCTATCTATCTATCTATCTATCTATCTATCTATCTATCTATCTATCTATCTATCTATCTATCTCCATCCCAAGCAATTAATCTATACTCGTTCCCTCAATCTTCCACTATTCCATTCTTTTCATAGCTACCTATGTCAGTTTGTTCATCTCTGTCTGTCTGTCTGTCTGTCTGTCTGTCTCTCTCTCTCTCTCTCTCTCTCTATATATATATATATATCATTCTGCTCATATCTACTTAAGTATTCATTTCAATCAGTTCATCTGTCTTTAAATTTTATCCAGTCTATTCATGTTTAAATCTATCTATCTATCTATCTATCTATCTATCTATCTATCTATCTATCTATCTATCTATCTATGTCTGTTCATATCTATCTATCTATCTATCTATCTATCTATCTATCTATCTATCTCATTCTGTTCATATCTATCTATCTATCTATCTATCTATCTATCTATCTATCTATCTATCTATCTATGTCTGTTCATATTCATCTATCTATCTATCTATCTATCTATCTATCTATCTATCTATCTATCTATCATATTCTGTGCATATCTATCTCGGACTGTTCCTGTATCTTCCGAATCTATGTTGATCTGCATTCCTTTTATTCTCCATGCGTATGCGTACACACACAAACACACACACACACTCTCTCTCTCTTTCACACACACTGCGAACGCAAACGAGTGTGTGTGAGTGAGTGTGTCTAGTAGTGTCTGTGTATGCTTATAATTAAGCAGTATATGTGTTTGTTCTCGAATATTTTGTGAATTTTTTGTTTTTAACCCTTTTCTTTTGGTGTCGGAACTGGTGTCGCTATTCTGGCCAACTGACCATTCTGGTCAAGCGACGCTATTTTCTCATACTATCATCAGCCTTCCTCTTTTCTCTCTGTGGAAATGGTTTTCACTTGCTTCGTCCGCAGAAACCAAGAGAAATGAAAGAAAGAACCAAAGCCAAAATGGTAAAGACGCGGTTTGTGTCTTGGGGTTGTTTGATTCCAGTTCAATGGAATTTCGCGTTCCTTAAATCTTTAATTATACAATTTTATTTCATGGAGTAATCGATGGCGTGTTCGTCTTTTTTTAAAAGTCATTTCACCCCCAAGCAAGGGTGGAATGCTACCAATACGCAGGGGGGTACAAAGAGAGAAGATGAGAGAAAAGATTGGAGGGGGGGGTCCGAGGAGAGGATAAAAGCT